TATATCATTAGAGTTTCGAGATGCAACAAGTCTTCCACGTTTCAATAATGTTCAGCAAAATGAATTTGACTGATATTGCTATGCATAGATCAGAATATGCAGATTACTTAAATGCAGTGCGTTGGAGTATGAAATGAAGTATAGTTTAATTGTATTCATCTTTGTATAATGTTGAGACGGTGTTGCATGAAAAGAAATGTGAGTATCCAAATTTTAAGATTTTGAAATAAACTAAATCTCAAATCCTGAAGTGTGATAGTAATAGTAAAAATATTTTTTCAAATAAAGATTTTTTACAGTAACTATAACATCCAGCAAATCACGACGTTGAACAAATAAAGTATTTGTTGCACCGATGCAGTAAGCTCGTGTCTTATCGGAACGAATCATATCCAAATGGCATATACTTAGGTAAGGGTGAAATAATGAACCCTATAATGATATTTTTTGTATTTTTCCATATCAAATGCAAAAAAACAATGAGAATAAGAAAAAAGTTTTAAATCGAATCATAATTTCCGGAATATATAATTGTAATCGAGTGATTGATTTCTGACATGACTCTTAACTTCTAACTTTAAAATTCGTATTTCACGTAAAATCATTACTTTAGTGAATATACTTAGCGGGAAACCATATGAATCGGTAGCCAATATTTGTTTCCGCTTTAAATTTGGGCAGTTTTCACCACTATTATCACTTGACAGCTGTGTTTTGAAATTGCAATCCGTTGCCGATGCCATTAAATCTTAAAAAATAACAGTTTAATAAAATGAAACATGTTATTTTAAGTGAAATGATAGATTTAGTTGCCATAATCGTACTAAAGGCAAAACTTTTGCGAACAAATTCCACGAGGTTGTTTCCACTCACTTTCTTCTCGATATTTACATTAACCATCATATCATTTCCAAATTCTAGAACTCTGTCTCCCATTTCATCCCAAAAAATTATACACAAATGCTTTATCCATCTTATAAGTTTTGAAATAAAATTACAAAATTAATAAAAAAAAATAAAAAATCAGTAATTATACCTCACCAATTTCATCTTTATACACAATCTTCTCATCCGAAGACTTCAGCGAATTTGGATTGTATGCAGCTGCATAAAATAAACCTTTTTCAACCAACCCTAAACAAAATTATTTATCTTCTCTATAATTAGGAAAAGAAAAAAACGAATTGATACTGAAAACAAATGCACAGATCTAAGAAATTTAGGCCATCACGATTATGCTAATTACAAGCGGGACAAATGAAAAGTGAACAGCCATCTCGCATTTACTATTACTCCTGCTTGAATCAATAAAAGCGGAATATGTAAAATTTACAGAAAATTTCAAATCTTCCCTCAATTATGAAATTTTCTCAAAAAACAGTGAGTAAAAAAAGAGACAATGTTCGAAAAAAAATAGTGTAAAAAATGCTGCTGAAAAAAATATTACGTGGAAAAAGTGAGATAAGCGCAACCATCAGCTGACTTAATTGAAATACTGGCGATATATAAAACACAACCTGAACAGCAGCGTATTTTGATTAAGAAGAAATCTCATAATTGAATGTTAATAAAAATTTAAGCAACAATATTTTAAACAATAAACAGAATTAGAAAAAGAAATTTTGAGGAACAAAAGACAATAGAGAATGATTTCTCTCGCCGAATTAAATGACGTTTATCTCTTTCTAACAGCAAGACTCATTCCAGAAGAACCTATAATTGGATTTCTCAAAAAGAAATTCATGTTAACAGGCTTTTTTAAAACAGTAAAAAAGCACTGTTATCAAATATACTGAGAACAGCAATGAAACCACATTATTTAACTGAATTTTCTAAATTACTATTGAAATGACTGACAAAGATTTTACTATTAAATGAAATCTTTCTGGAAGAGAAAAAATTACCTTTTTTTCTAGTAATAACAATTTGAATAACACTAACACACGATGCCTAAATGTTGTTACAAGGGATTGCACTGAAATATCTGCAAAAATACTTTGCTTTCCTTAAAAATCTTTGAAACTTCATAGTTTCATATTTAGACCATTTTTGAGCTAGAATGATGAAAAGATATTGGTCATACATTTTGGACAGCAATCCAGTGTACAATCATGAAGCTGTATATGCATCAGTTTCATATGCATCATTTTTCGCATGTTGTGACGTTTTGATATTACACATCAATTAAGTAGGCAACGGTGTGGTGGTTAAAATAATATAAGTTTGGCACGAAAAAATACCGTTCCGAATAATTAAGTAAAACAAATATTATTTCTTTGTCAATGTCTGTCAAATGCTAATGTTCATCTACGCTTTCACGTTCAACTAACTTACATCCCCTTTATTTGGACATAAATGCTTCGATATTACAAAATGAAGTTGAAATCTAATCTTTAAATCTTATATATAGCACGAACATATACCCATAATTGCAGCTTGTTCATCAGTTACGACATCCGGAAACATTTCACAAAGATTTTCATACATTTGACATAGCACATCAACCTACAAATTGCGCAGAGTAATGTAAAAAAAAAAGTATGGATGGGTTCACCATTAAAAATTCTCCTTTGCCAAATTTTCAATCCAATATCTTATTTCATGAAATTCTTAAGGATCGATTAATCTAAGAGAAATAAAAACGCAATACTAAAAGCTCACCTTAGCAAAATCCCTTTCGTTAAAATAAGCTTTTGTGATAAGCTCTAATTTAGCCGTCAATACACCAAAAAGTGGTATTCGAGACAGGACGCAAACACTCTTCTGCACACTACTTCGGGTGACATCGGTTGATTTGTTTAGAAGATCCTCGAAATATAAGAATTTTAAACTTGACTGAAGATTTTGAAAAAAATGGAATAATTCCTCTATAACGAAAATAGACAGAACGAAAGCAAAGAGGGAAGAAATGAAGGAGAGGAGAAAGCACTAACTGCGATGGTAATAATGCAAACGATAATAATTGTAATATAGTAATAATATTAACAATAAATAAAAGTAGTAACCTTTGCAGAAATTTGACGATAACAGGAAATTCCAAAGACTGATCGGTTTGGATCATCTAACGATGGTAAAAGAAAATATATTACGTCTAAAATTATAAAAGGAAGCAAACACATGAAAATAAAAGATAGTTTTCTATAAGAGAATATTTTGATTATTCCACAAATTTGACAAAAGAATTGATGGTACATGGCTGAAAACTCAATCAAAAAGCGCAAAAAAAATATTCATTTCTATTTATTATCCTTTGCAGATTGCTTCATCTGCTATTATAGGTCAAGAAAATTCCGAAATCTTAAAATTTAGAAAGTTTAACTTTAAAAGCTCAAAAAGCGAAGCTTTCCATTCCATTGAAATGAAATGCAAGTTACGAGCAATGAGGAATAGTAGAACTAAAAAATTAAATACACATTTAAGCATTGTTGTTCAATAAACCCTTATGTACCATGGTCGACGTTATGAGCACCATCAGGAAGTGCAAGTGAAGGCAAATTCTGCCACGCCGCCGGAAGGTCTCCTTCACTGTTCGTTAAAGGTGGATAACAATATTCTATCTGAAAAGAACAGTCAAAAACTTAATATTCATGAATCTCTGAATTAATAAATCTTGACTGAAAATCTTATAAACGAAAATTATAAACCGTCATTCACAAAATAAAACTGTTTTAATACGGAAAACTTCAAAACACCATGAAATTCGCTGGTCTTATCCGCAAATCTTAGTCATTGATTCCATTCATCTTACTATTTTATCAACTCATTGATCTTAGTAAATTTACTGTTGGTTTTATTTTATTAACCGTTCCATCAATTACCTGACATCCTCTTTTATGATGAAAACCAATAACCGCAACGTAAAGAATTGAACCGACCATACATGAAAGAACATCTGATGTTTAAACAGTACAAATATTAAATAATCTGTCAATATCGAGCAACATCTGAAAAAAATCACATTTACTGCGATGAAATGTGTAAAACAATGCGTAAAATAAAGCGCATAACGCATATATATGACCAGAAAAAATATAAGCAAAACATCATAGCATCATAACGTAACACAAACATATAATATAAATTTACTGATATGCATATATAAAGTATGACATAAAAATCTGTGCAACGTGATATATTACTTTCAAATGCAAAGTACATAGTAGTCTGATAAAATTACGTATACTTACTGCGCACACAGCTGTACACTGGATGTAAGTAAATGATGACAACTGTAACTCGATACAAACTTATTTACAACAGACTTTGGTATTACCAAATAATTGAAGTTTAGATATCTAAAAATAAAACTTTTATTTAAAAAATAAAAACGACCATATATAGTATTAAAGCTTCATGTTTAATCGTAAATGCACCTTCAGTTCAGTGTTAAACGGTTTCAACGCTTCTCTCATTCCAACAATTGCTTTCTTTAATGCTACTCTGCAAACTCCCGCTCCCATCACTACGCGAAGTTTCTATAACATTACTAAATTTATCGATAAAAAAAAAGTATTATGCTATTATATCTGATCCAGCTATTTCTATGACGCACTATATCATTATTGCTGAAATTGAATCGCTATATCTTTACAAGCCAATAATGTAAATAATCTGATTCTTAGAACTCCATGAAATGTCTAAATATGAACAGCTGATGAAATTAAAAATAAATCTAAGATTTACTGGATATGATACAGTTATCTGCATGTGACAAAATAGCAACAAGTAATGCAATAAAATCGATCTCCCAATAATAAATCTTAATTTCACTCAATCAAGCAATACAATGTAATAAAAAAATAAAGCAAATACCGTTTAAAACCATTAATATACAATATGAAAAAACGAGTTCATTTTAGAGAAATAAATTCTTTCTTATTCAGTTATGGCAAGTTTCGCAAGAAATACCTAGAAAAATTAAATCAATCTAGCCATAATGACACATTTGCAAAATATAAAACCTCATCGTCAGTTCAAAACACCATTACTATTCTCATTTAACTTAAAATATTTTATTCGTAAAAAATACTTATTTTTCGCCAGTCTACAAAAATTTTATGAAGACTAAAAATTTTTCATAGAAGTAACAACAAAAACAAGCAAATGAAACAGTGTAAACCTATTGCAAAAACCTACGAAAAAATAAAACTTGGATAATTTAATAAATAACACTGTATGGGTAAGATGGATAACGGTTACAACATGAAATGAATAACAATAACTGGATGATACATGGAATCAAATGAGATCGAAGATGTTTGAAAAAATCCAACTTAAGTTGTGGCGTCACCACAGAATTTAAATACTTGAATAGCAATCAATGCATAGTAAAATCACGATATTTAAAATTGTTGATATTAATGAGTCAGCCACCAAGCTCAAATATTAGGGGCTTGATTAACTTTTTTCAATTTTTTTCTTAAAGCAACTTGCTGGATAGGCTGTTTATAGAGGAATAGGTAAAAAAATAAGAAACGCATAGCTTACAGGAAAAGGAAATGAAATTGCTACAGCTGAAAGGAATAAAAATTTTACATGGTCATTCATGAAAATACAGACGTATGACTGCTTGAGCAAAATAATGAACTTATTTCCTATCTAAATCGTTTTATTGTTCTAATGCTAATTGAGTTATAGGATGATCCAAAAATGGAAACTCTAAACCAAGGGAATTCAAGTGAATCACCGGATTCAAAAACTATCATATTTTTGATGTGGTAGATGACATAATTCAGCAGACGGAGTGTCACAATCCCGTGAAATATGCGAGCTGATGAGATCATAAATACACCATGATAGTACGAACACCATTTCTAACGGATAACTATTAAAGACATTTATAACCTTGCAGACTAAAAAAGAAAAACAAACAAAAATAATTCATATAAAATGAATCTGAGGGTTTCGAATAATTTAAATATTCCAGAACTTTTTCTGGAATAGACCATTAATTACCTAAATTGAATGATTTCTTGATTGGATGGATAACCTGAGGACTTAACAACACAGAAATGAATAAACATCACGAATTTAGTAACCATGGATTTTCTGCGACAGTACATGGTGTTCGGTCCCCATAATCATAGAGCAGTTCTTCACCAATATCGATGTCGCGTTTAGCGATTAATATTAAGTGTTTCGATCCATTCAACTCGATAACCTTAACATAACAATATACCATCCCATATTATTTGCTTGTCATAAATGAACAAATTTTTATAACAGTATTCATTGCAACAAATAACTAATATGTAAAACTGCTAATGTAATGAATGGTATTGTCAAAAAGATAGCGACGTAATGAACTGAAGTGTTAATGCAGACGGCGTTTACGGCGTTTATGAGAACAATAATCTAATGCAATAAGAAAAATGCAAAACTTAATTTGTGCCAATAAGAGAAAATATTTCTCTTATTCACTGCCATTAACTGCCTCAAAATGAGATTATTATGAAAAAGTAAAATTCATTTGCATACTTTTGTTTTGAGATTCGGCCTAACCACGGAATGATTTATCAAACGCCCTTTATAGGGTGTTTCATCTGTAGCATCAACACAATATTGCTTATTTTGATATTTGAAAAAATACATAAATGAGCCAATGCTATTATCTTTAGCATATTCTCGTTCGCGATTCCTTGCCAGCCTCATATCTATTATTTCACCTGAAACCATATGAAAGTCAACTTATTGTTTCGTCCTCTTAATTTCCTAAATGAATAAGACAATTTAGAAAAGTAATTAAAAGTATGAGATCAAAATACATAAGTACTATCCATGAATGTAAAAGACTCTGGTCATCAATCAAGTTTTGGCAAATTCGCAAATCCTCATCTGATAAAAATGAACTTCACAGTCTGCGCGTTTTCTTTTCTCAAAAATAAATAATTTTTTGAAGAGAAATACCGATATCAAAAACAGCTTGAAATGTTGAATTTTACTCTTACTTTACCTTTGTACTCGACCACAAATTCATTTTTTTGAAAATTTCGCAAGGTACGAATACCACGGCCTTTTTCTTCGCACTCGAAAATTTCTAGGAATTTCTCATTACTACCTGTCAAAATAGCATTTGCCATTGCGTCACGCTCTTCCTGCTACAAATATCAGAAGCAAACTTTATATATGACCGTGCAGTGTTAATTTTCCAAAAATAATTAATAACAGCTTGATTTCCTGAATATTTGCCGAATTAACAAAACATACAAATTTTTTAAATACTAAGAATTTATAAAAGTACAAAAAACTCACTTCAAGCTGTTTTTCCGTTTTACGATTGCTTCGACGAAGCGGAAAATAGTCTGTGATTTTATGTGTCGAGGTGTCATCGGCTTTTTCAGTTCCTCTTCCAACAGATTTGTTTTTTCTGCAAACAAAAAAAAAACGTCGAAAAACATTAATTACAAAATTCCAGAAAATCGTACCGTATTCTTTAACAAAGCAAAAATACAGAGGACTGATAAGAAAGTAAGCAGTAAATCAGTCCACAATATCCATTATGACTAAATCAAAATATTCAAAAGTGGAACACTTTTGATCGTGAAACACAGCAAAGCTATTTATTTCACAAAATACAAATAAAAAGTGATTGCAAACAGCTATAACAAAACCAAATCAGCATACACACCTTGTCGTTTTTTTTCTGGTAATTCGAGGACCTCCACGTTTGCGATTAACTATTTTGCCAAGCATTCGATCAGACAATGCTGATTGCGGTAAACCTCTGCAATTAGTTCGTACATATTGTAAGTTGGAAAAAAATTGAAATCAATTTCTCAACCTTAACCCTAATTAAGTATTTGTTAGTCCAATAAGCAAATAAATGTAATAAAAAAATTTGATCCAAAGAAGTGTCCACTCTACTGAATGAAAAGGATCATAAGATATTCAATACTTCAAAGCATGAATTAATACACAAAAAAATGAATAATTAAAACTATTAAAGAATTCATTGTCCGATTTGAAATTTATTCCTCAATCGAAATCTTTCTGCACACTCTTATCACATATCGTATGAAACAACAAATGATCGATAAAATTTAAACCTTACAAATTTAAACAATTCCTAATAAACTAAGATTAACATCTCTGATTGTTATAGTATAACCAATTAGTCAAAAATGCTACATATGCTCTTGAAACTTGATGTTCAAGATCTAAAAATGACAAACACAATTCACCTTACTCATGCTTATTATAAGTTGAAATCACCTCACATTTAAAGGTTAAAATTCAAGTATTATACATTCTGAGCTTCTTAAATCTCATTCAATGCTTGACAATACAAACAAAAAATTCAATAAAGAGTATTAAGATCTAATGTTTAACACGGACAAAATTAATTCAGTTATATTCCACACATTTGATATGAAATAAAAATTTGCTCATTTTAAAATTCATATTTGACTCAAATAATCATAATTTATCCTAAGTTCTGTTTTCATACAATCGAAATTTGGAGCAGTAAAACGACAAAAATTTGAAAATTGGCGCCAAAAGAAAACTAACCGATGCAGCAGTATTGTCTGACGTTTCTCGTCTGTACCGTACGTGAGCCGTATCGTAATAACCATCGCTACGTCACGTCACGTAGTGTTGCTGAAGGTGGCATCGAATTATATAGAATTGATTACTATGAGTAGTTTGAATATACTGATAAGAATTCACCTCTCATGTCAGCAATATCTTTCGCTGCAAAGAAGCGTAGAGATCCACAAAAAGATGAAAACAAGGGAATGTTAGACATAAAGCACGCATGAAATCTTCAAAAAAAAAACAAATTCTACACAATTGTTAGAAGAGCGTAGTTAGCACTAATTTTTTCATATCCATTTTTCATATAGACCTTTAATATACCAATGCAACATATACGTGAACGTATCAAAACCTTGTTGAATACTTATGAAAAAACAGTTCATACGCATGCGGCAAAAGTAGTATATATTTTACAGCATTGATTATCACTTTTCTCAGTGTAGATTGTATAAAAAATATTCTATAACACTTACTGATGAATTAAGCGAAAATAACTTGTATCTGCTCAATTGGTCGTAAAAATGTTGATTATTCCTTCTGACGTTCCGTCAAAATTTACTTAACAAAATAGTTTATACGTATGCAAAAAGCACATAAGAGGGTATGAATCACTAGTGTTTGCATATATTCATAAACGTAGAAAAACTTCACGTATCATCCACGCAACCTTACGGAACTATGGTCTGCTTCCTAATGGAACACGTCCATTATACACAGGACATTATGCAACAGACGCAGTATCAATCAAATATTGAATAGCAAAAAACATTGCATACAAAAACATATATATATATATATATCGATCGTTTTGTACATTCCATGCATGTATTTTATTTCGAAAAAATTAAATAGTTACTTGCAGTATGCGATCAATGCATGTATGCATTTCAATATTTCATATCAAACATATAACATTTTATACAATACACTTCAAGACTATGTTATAATGGCCGCAGAAATTTTGTACATTCTGTCACGCATTCATCCATATGCCACTCCAAATTGCAAAAATCCAACCTTACTTTCACCGCTAATTATAATCCAATCAGCTACACGATGATCGCAGATTTTCGTGCGTCCACGTAAGCACCATTTCATCTTATAAAAATTGGATTATTATTATCATGCAGCATTGAACGATTCATGAAAATACTTAACCCAATTAATTATGAACCAGTTACCTAAGATGATCATAGGTAGTTGCCCGATTCATTTCACGATATTTCATTTTTTTTTCCCCTAGTGCATATTCAATTTTTTCGATCACTTTAACGTGATATTGATGGAAAATGCTCATTTTCGAGTTTCTCAATTTTAAATCAATTTAACAGCATAAAAGAAAGATTGAGGTTGATGCAGATAAAAACTCTTATTTATTTATATATTTAAGGTAGTTCCAGAAATTTGAATCCTCCAATTGGATTCAATCAGAATTAATTCACATTTCCAAACCAATTCCTTTTTTTGTAATTAAATTAAAAAGGCCTTCAACGCTTCTTTTACTTTGTAATTATTCATTTGCGTTCTCGTTTCGTTTTCTTTAGCATTGATCGCAACAATTTCACAATCACTTATCGAAGAGCAATTGAAGAAGTCCATCAAAATTGAATGAAATTGGACACACTGTATAAGAGAGAAAAGAACCATCAAATATGTACTAACAAACGGATCGTTGCAATGATATAGAAGAAATGGCATTCTCGGAACAATGAATTCATAAGCAAAGAAGGAATAAATACACTCTCTCTCACTTGCACTTTTCTTTTAGAGAGTTTTGGTAAAGAAAGATTGCATTAAAGTAAGGATGAGGGAATGGGTGGACTTGAACATTTCGGATGATTTACAAATAAACCCCAGTGAGAAATGACTGAAATAAGAAATCTTGTTCAGGCTTAGGTTATTTCGTAGACAGAGGAAAAGAAATGAAGTTAAAATTACAATTTTTTTGAGCCCAAATGCATGTACTAACTTTAACTGCAACTTATTTAACTAACTTAAAATTAGTAAAGATAACTTACATATTATGACTTTCTTTTTACATAAGTGTATACCAGAGAGAGCTTATGTTTATATATACTTGTAAAAGTTGTGATATATGAAGTATTTGGCATCCTAATTAAAATAAAAGTACAAAGTTATCAAATGTCAAAATAATTTTCATCATTCCTTGACAAGGAAAAGAAAGGAGATGGGAGAGGAATCTGACGGGACCGGATAATTATGCACAAGTTTAAAACTCCAAAAGAATAAAAAAGCAATTCATAGAGACAGCCAACCATTATGTAAAAAAATTTCCAAACTAAATTTTAATTTAGACAAAAAAAAGAAGTGAACAAAGTGGTGTCGCTTTTCGTTCTTGTTTATGACAGAAACAGGCTGAGAAGTGAATTTAGCAAATAAATATATACGACGCTCTCGATCGGCCTCACTAATGAACTTATGCGCAAATCTGGATCATAATCCTTCGTTCCATTTTTTGGCAGATACTTGGATATAGCGTAAGTGATTAACTCTATTTTACCGCATTTTTTTGTTTCTCTTATCTGCAGATATTGTCAGAAAATACGTGTGTGTGCACAGTGGAAGATAATAAAAAATTCTTCACCGACAAGCCTTGAAAAACTCGACCTTCTGTTGCTATGCTCTCTTGACATCACATAAAATGGCCTAGTATTATACAGGAAAAATGGTAACTGGAATGGAAATTTTTGATGGAAATCTTATTGACCGGTAATACTGCATCTTTTCTCACTCTCACCGATAGTGAAAACAGTAATTAACGGAGGAATAACAGATGAAATGCTGAAGCCATCATCAATGGGCACCGTTACGATTTATTGTGCCAAGCAGGGTTATGTACAAAACGTCAAGCTAATATGGCTTTAATCTTCGAATACTTTACCTTTATCGCGCATCGAACTATATTCTGTTTCGCTATAGCACGTGAGGCGCTTTATGAAAAAATGCATTAAAATCGCTTCATGGCCATCAGTTAACCCCCCTGCTTGATAGTAATAACCTTTGAACTCACATAAATTCTTTCCTTCCTCCGGGATATCCCTAATCTCTTTTTTATAAATGAAGAAAAGAGCAAGTATTTCCCTATTCTGATGGTCCCTGGATTTTTTCCTCTACTTTCCGCAATGTTTGACCTCTTGCACGAAAATGTCTTGACCTTTTCACCCCGTAGAAAAAGTTCATCACAGGAAAAATATGAGTGAAAATGAGTGAAAGCAATGGACAGATAGACAGGCAGATAGACATATACACAATCCACTCCGTAAGAAATCGAGACAACTATAAAAATTTGATATACAACGTAGACAAAGAGATAAACACATATCGGAAAGATGCAGAGAGGGATATCAAAGTTGTGGACAGACAGATAGACAAACACAGAAAATACACCAAAATGAAGTGGTGGACAATGTATGGACAGATACATACACGTTTGTGTTCGAGATGCAAACAGACAAACATACACGTACAGGCAAATACATCCCGGCAAAGGTTATCAGTTAATTAAAGGGATGTAAAAGCAACACGTAACTGACTGTTAAGTGCAGCGCGCGACAACGTCTATTTTTTGAGGCGTTGTATGGTGTGGTTGAGCGGCGGCACCATAATGTGACGTAGAAAACCAATATCAAGAAGTACAAAGTGTACATGAAAGTAATATTTATCGAAATTTTCAAATTCATGATATCACTGCACTTGGCAAACGGCCAAAATGAAGTCCTGCAGTCTAGTGGGGCGGCGCGCAGCGTTGCAGCGGACGCGACAGTCCGGTATAAAAGGACGGCCGAGCGAGTTCTCCTCCATCTCTCCCTCACTTCGTCGCGTCTCGCCTGGTCGGCTGTGGTAGGGTATGTTGGCCGGCTGTTGCAGCGCTGCTTTCTCGGCGACGTTCATTTCGGCGCGGCATTATTTCTACCAGCGAGTCATCAAATTGCAGCGGAAGTGATGCAATTAGTGATGCGTTGCCGCTTTTTTGTCTGAAGAGCGAAATGCGTGGGTAACGCTGGGTAGCACGTAAATCCCGGGACCATACCAAAATTTGACACGTTAAAAGCTGAGGATGTTGAAAAGAAAGAGTGAAAGTGGGTCGCAAATTAGTTGATCATGCCGAATTTATGCAACAGATGAAAAACAATGAAGGAATTGGGAAATTTTAGTGCAAGAATTGATCGCAAGCAGAGTCGAAGTCAAAATGAAAGGCTTTTCGAATGGTTATCATCATTCATTATCAAAAATTTCATTTGTTGAAGGGAGGATGTTGAAAAAAGAGAAAGAGAAGTTTCTGTGAAATTGATGTAAATAACATAGCGAAAGAGAGGTCAGGAGCGCTGGTCAACAAATGACTAATGCGGATTACGTGGAAAGGTGTGACCTCAGAGATCAGCCAAAATTCTATCTATGTGTACGACCACTAATTGAAGATTTGAAGAAGTGTAAAGGATTGATAAGGTTGACAATTAAGGTCGGGGTCTCTCTTTTTTTGGTTAGACAAGGAAAGACTGTTTTTATATTTATGTAAATAATATGTACTTTCATTTCATACCATCCATTTGTATGTCTAATATAAACACATATGTTTTGGCTTTCTCGAGGAGTGAGTTGAAATAATTCGATATCGAATCCGTTCTGGAGCTAAGCATGGTAGTAGTGTATAGTGGAGAAAAAGATGAATAAGCGCGGAAAAGGAAGACCGCATTTAGATGAATTCCAGTTAGTAGCGAACTGTACAAAATATCAAGTTTTTCTGGGTACAATTTTGACCTTTCGGATAGCTCGAGAATTTGCATATCAAAAAAAGAACCCCTGAATATAGAGGAGAATGCTCAAGCGGTGGACATGAGAAGGAATGATTATCGATTGACACACCCGCATCTCTCCTCATTTTCACACTCTCTCCCAATGATGGAAATGAGGGAATTGCCCTTCGATCCCAATGGTTTTGCTAACATATAATATTTATGTTTTCAAGCAATCATCTGTACGTTCTTCAGAATGGATGACGCATCACTATACGTATGTTTCACGCATTTTGTCTAAATCTTAACTTAATGCTTAAAATAATGTAAATAATAAGCAAGTTAGAGTTTGATTTACACCCATATTTGACCTTCATTTACTTTTCTTGGTCTAATGGTGGAGAGAAAGAAGCTGAAAGAGAGATCAGTACTTATTTTAGTTAGATTTAGATTGAAGTTTGGGTGTGAAATTGATCTCTTGTCAATTTAGAAAGAAGCATGAAACCATTTGCTAATTTGTTGTTGCTTTAATCAGTTTCATCCTATCTAGGTTTTCAATTTCTTTTTATATTATGTCGAGTTTGTTATTTTGTTTCGAAAAAGTTTTCAAAATCATGATTTGTTAAATTTTCGACAATTTGCTGATTGTTTTTCATATTTTGATAATTTTTGAATATTTTGTTGCAATTGTAAATGAATATTTTTCATATTCTTGAAATTACTTGCTAGCGAGAATGCAGCATAAAGTAGCGTTTAGTGATATATTAAGCATAAATGACATTAGACATAGAAAAGTGAGGCACGATGTGCACATTAAGCGAAAGTGTATCACGTGTCAGATGAATACAATAAAACATGTTAAGCGCCGATGACACATAGAACAGGAAAGGGTGAGAGAACCTGTCATCCTTAGCCATACGTTTATTGGTGTAGTACATCGTTAACATTGGTGGCGTTTCACTTATTTGTTATGCGTGCGATATGCATTTTAGGCGTTGACTACGTACGATGAATGTGCGTTATATGTAATTAACTTAGGTTAAGAGTTGATTCTCTTTTAAATTCTATCATATTTGCAATACGCGCTTCGTGTAAGAAATTTTTTATCTGGGAAATATTTCAAATATTTTTAAATGATTTTAAGATTCGACTTTATTTGCAGAGTTCACATACGAATGGATGATTTGCTGTCTGCAGCAATATGCGAGGCTGGTTTAGAAGAATTTTTCCTAGCACCGGAAATCGTTGATAAGGAAGTTGAAAAATCGTCGGAAAGTGATATAGCGATTCAACCAGTCAATGTCAGCGGTCAGACAAATGCTTTGACGGAGTTTTCAAGAGCTGAATCGGAAGATAAGCAAAATGTAGAAATATTAAGTGATGGTTGTGTAAGCCTTCCTTCATGTTCAAGTACCGATTTTGAAAGTAATTTACGTGCTGACACGCCACGAGCTGATGATCTCTCAAATAACATCACTGAAAATGCACCTCCAACAGCTGTCCAACAGCAATTGGTTGAAGTTGTCGAAACGACCGAATTACCGCGTGATCTTAGTCTCGGCAACGCTAAACGGACGATTTTATCACAACCTAGAAATACTAGCAATTTGCCAGATAGCGGAAACGTGTTCGGTTTACGACGTCTTGTTACATCAACACAGCAACGATCGCAGTTAAGCAGTGGAATGGTAAACTGATAAAACATTTTTCTCATTATTTTGAGATTGAACATGATTTTTTTATAAGGGAGCATATTAGAATTTTAGATGATTACGGTGGTAGGTGATTACTGATTTAATCTATAGAGTAGTTTTTTTTTAATATTACAGGTTAAAAGAGTGAAGCTGATAATACGTAGTTGAGTACTTTTCAGCCATTCAAAAACGCTGGGACAGCACAATCAACAGTGAAAATAACACGTGAAACATGGCGAGCCGACAGCCAAGTTGACGATGACAATGATGTTGAAATTATTGGAGGAACATCGTACACGAGTGGTACATCTCGGACCTTACCACCACGCCGTGTGGTAATCATGAAAGAACGTCCCAGAAATGGTTTAGATTTAAAGTTGGAAAGAAAATGAAACATTGAAATTTAGCTATTCTTTAATACTCAGTTGTTTGTAGCACTCTACTATTATGTTGAATCACTTTTCCATCTAGGTTTGGCTTATTTACGTCAACGTAACTGGGAGATTATGTCGCGACGTATTCCACCACCACATACACTCTTAAGTCGAAACGGTAACTGGACATTTGGCGTTCGTGGTAGTCGTGTAATTCGTCCAGTTTTTCGGTCAGATCGACCATCTATTTTTTTGCAACGGTAAATGTTTTGATGCAAAAGATAAATACAAAAATTTGAACTTGTTCTTCAAACTAAGGATTTCACTTAATTTCCGGTTTTTTCTTGTTTTCTTCGAGAATGATAGATCAGTTGGAAGTTCAAACTTTGAAATATCAAGAAGCTCACTTGGGAAATGATTCGTTTCATCCGCTTTTTTTGCAGCAGCACTACACGATTGGGATGCATTGAGAGGGATCCAGTGAACGTTCTGCAAGAAACAGGGCATCAGTATTTGCCTTCAGCGGCATTAAACGCCCACCCAAGAATTATACGGAATTCAGTTTTACGTCGAACATCTCCAGTGAGTGTGCAAGGTTCTCGTCCAGGCGCAATAACAACCCGTATGATACCAAGTCTACAGAGAGCCCGAAGTCATTTAGCCGGTTCCATTGCTGGTATCAAGCCAATCTCATGTCCTGAAATATCAGGAAATAACTGTGGTAATGAAAAACGGGAGCTTGATACAGCCGGTCAAATACGTGTGCTTGGAAATTCAGTTGAATCACGACTACCTGTAGGTGAAGTTTTGCGCCGTATTCGGATAAATGAGCAAAAACCGGCGCATGCTGATGAATATCGTCGGAGAAGTATAGGTGGCAGCGGGACATCGAAAGATGAAGTATCCCTTGATAATTCGCGCAATACGGAACGCAAACTCTTAAGTCATGTATTAGAACAGAAAGAAAAGAAGTCGTCCGTAAGGAAAGAAATGGAGACAGCCCTGAAGTACCGTATTACTCAAAATGATCAAGACATTGATGATGAGGTTAAATTTTTATTTCCCGTAGATGTTACTTTTCTTGTAGTTTTCGAACTTTTTTTCGGAACTTTCGCTTTATCTTTTCGGGAATTTTTCATATTTTGAAAAACCATGGATTTTATTCGAAAGTCGGACTGGTGCAGAATTTTTTGCAGAATCCATAAAGGCCAATAAAGGCCAATTTTCATGTGCAATTGTTTTGCTTTATATTCAAATTGAGAAACAGTTTAACGAAGAATTTAATTTTTTACTGTGAAGTTTATCGGTAAAAACTAGAATATTGATTTGTCAAAAGTTAAACTTACTGTTAATTGAACAAAATGAATGCGTCCTGAATATTTCTTTAAAGATCGATGTCCATCAGTAAAACTAAACGATAACAAAATGCAGTCACTGAGGATTAGATTTTGGCTTGTATGGAGTGAAATGAATGATGCAGTGTTGTAGAAAGCCTTATATAATTTCATGATTGTCTAACATGACTCAGTTATTTTTGATTCATCATTTTCTGGTACTTTTAGGAAGAGAATTTGGGTTATGCAGAAACATATGCAGATTACCGTCCAGCAAAGCTTCGTTCCGGTTTATCACATCCAGATAGTGTTATTGAAACTGCATCGCTAAGTAGTGTTGCTCCACCAGACATACGCTATAATTTGACTGTTCCCGAAGAGGTTTAATTTATTGTTTTTATTGATTTTCGGAAGGCATAGTATTCATTGTAATTTTTGAAAAGAGTCTTTCCGCTTGTCTTCACTATTTTCATTCTTATCCTCCAAACATTCAAATCAAATGTAAAATTTTTCTGAAGAAAAAATGGAATTTTTATGTTCAAAACCTTTAATTTCTTTTCTTGTCATTTTTTTTTATTCTTTGCAATTAAAACTGTTATTTTTTAGATCATTGATACAGGCGCTATATCAGCTGTGCAGCTGGAAACAGTAGTCTATGCTTGTCAAGCACATGAGATGCGTCTTCCATCAAATGAACGTGTTGGCTATTTGATTGGTTAGACACTCAAATTATTTTAATTGAGATGATTGCCCTCACCGTTTATTTTTTTTTAGTAATATCTTTTGATATTTTTTCAGTATTAATGTTTTCTAATTTATTTACTTCATTAGGTATTACATTGCATAACTCCTTTTCGATTTTACAGGTGATGGAGCCGGTGTGGGTAAAGGAAGAACGATTGCTTGCATCATCTTTGAAAATTATCTCCTGGGACGCAAACGATCAATTTGGTAGAATTTTTTGTTTTCATTTAGAAGCTAAATGTTTTTCAACTGAGTAAAGTTGAAATCTATAAATATTTGGTTTGTACCACATTGTTTTCAGTTTCGAAATTAATCCAATTTATTCGATTAATTAGGAGATTGAAAAAAATCTAGCCCTACATTTCCAATTAATTTTAAATTTTATTGCAGCATATTAATTTTGAAGACATCTGTAATCTCAATCACTTCCTTAGAGAGAAAAAGGTCCTTGGTTCGTCTGACTTGAAAAATGCTATTTTGTAGGCTTAGCGTTTCGGCTGATTTACGATACGATGCTGAACGTGATTTGAGAGATATCGGTGCCAAAAATATCAAGGTTTATACTTGGATTGTCTTTTTATTTCCTGAACTGTTCATTAATTGTGTGTATGTTATATCATGTATTAATCAATAAACATTCTGCCGTTGTTTTGTTGCACTAAGATATGGCATTACACTAATGTTTTTAGATTTACGCATTAAATAAGTTCAAATACTCCAAAATTGGCGGAAAGGAAAATGGTGTCAAGAAAGGTTGCATTTTTGCAACATATTCATCACTCATTGGTGAATGTCGTTCAGCGAAAGTTAAATACCGAACGAGACTTAAACAGCTGATCCAATGGTTTGGTCAGGTTAGTCTCTGGTTTTACTCATTTCAAAAAACTTAAACTGAAACATTTCATGGGTTTTTGATATTTCTTTTCAACCTTCATTGTGCTACCAAGCAGAATTCCAGTAGTTTTGGTGCAAAAATATTAGAACTACAAAACTTTATTTGATGGTATAACATAAAGTGTTTTTTGATAGTAACAGTTTTTGTATTGGCCACATAATAACCTCACTATGAAAATTCAGAATATTATCAGATGTTCCCTTCCATCTATCTATTATTTAACTATGGTTGTTTGTTCTATTTCTTGTTTGTATTTACGGACATCTCATAGTTTTCCATCATTTTTTATACTTAATGTAATCAAAAAACTCATTCTTCATGTAATTTGTATTTGCCCGTTAAAAGGAATCACACCTTACTGGGCTTATAAAATTGTTGGAGAAAAACCGGGAGAAAAAATTATGAATAACTGCTCTTTTGATGAAATAAGATAGGACCGATACTTTCTTACATGCTCAAATTATACTGTCTTGATTATAGGATTACGACGGTGTTATTGTGCTTGATGAATGCCATCGTGCCAAGAATTTGGTTCCAACATCTGGTTCAAAACCAACGAAAACAGGTCGAAGTGTTATGGAATTGCAGAAAGCTTTACCAAATGCCCGAATTGTTTATGCTTCAGCAACTGGTGCAACAGGTACGATTGTACATTAATTTAGATATGTGTCATTTTATAGTCAGCGCTGATTCATTTTTTTTTAAATACAATCTCCTACCGAAAAATTCAACTTATGGATTCTTCCCATAAATTTAAAATATTTTATGGAATTATTATTTTCAGAACCTCGAAATATGGCATATATGACACGTATAGGCTTGTGGGGGCAGGGGCAAGCATTTCGAGAATTCAGTGATTTCATTAATGCTGTAGAAAAACGAGGAGTAGGAGCTATGGAAGTAGTTGCAATGGATATGAAGGTTTCCGTTTAAACAAATTTAATCAATGTCCTTTGCTGTATTATTGATGACAAATCCTAGTTTCGAATGGTTTCGAGTTAGTTTATAAATTTAGAAAAAGTTATTAATTTTAGCAACGTGGTCTTTATCTGGCTCGACAGCTTTCTTTCCGTGGTGTTACTTTCCGGGTTGAAGAAGTGCCTTTATCTGCAGATTTTATCGAAATATATGACGCATCAGTTAAAATATGGCTTGAATGTCGAAGACAATTTCAGGTTAATTTTGATACATGTTCGTTTAATTTATTAACAGTCATACTAAGGTGAAAAAGATTCACAAAATATGAGTGATTCTGCGAAATGTGTTGTTTAGGTTTTATTAAGATTATAAACAATAAATTGAAATATAAGCGACATTATAGTGGTTATATATTTCTTTAAAAGTGTAACCTGGATATGATTTTTTGCTGATTCGAAATAAAAATTTCTTGCAGGCAGCTCTTTCTCGTCATTGTATTAGTCGAGCGCAAATAAAACTAATTTGGGGACAGTTTTGGGCAGCACATCAACGATTTTTCAAATATATCTGTATTAGTGCAAAGGCGAGTTATGATATTTGCGTTATGTATTTTTGGATTTGAAAAAAACATTTCCCAGCTGTATTAATTAAGCAACGGGATACTCACTTAGGATTTTCTCTACTGCTAGTAAATATTTCATTGTTAAGAAAAACAAGCAATGGTATTCTATTTTTAGATGAATTTTTAGATGGAAAGATGTAATAAAATTAAGAATGTAAAAATAAAATTTTCAAATTTTGTTCAGGTAAAATCATGTGTCAAGATAGTGCGTGATGCAATAAAAGCCAATAAATGCGTTGTAATTGGTCTACAAACTACCGGTGAATCAAAAACACTGGAAGCACTTGACGATGCCGGTGGCGAATTGACTGAATTCGTATCCACGGCTAAGTTTGTAATTAACGAAATTTGATAAAACTACTCGAAAAAAGAACGTGACATAATCAAGGGTAAATCAAATGAAACTGATGTCAATGTCCGTGTGCGGTTATATGCATGAAATCGAAAAATTTATGAAGAACGATAATTTAGAGCAGTGTTGGCGAGGCTTATAGAGAAACATTTCCCAACAGAAAATACGAATTCTTCAGCGGATGTCTATACCAATTTCGACAAAATGTGCAATGAATTAGACCGTCCAGTCAAACGCAAATGTGCGTATAATAGAGTATTATGTGTTGCAAAATGCAAATTTTTTGCGACCACTAAGGAATACCCATTATTATTGTGACCCTATACATTCAGATTAATAAGTCATTTTTTCGGGATTTGAATAAAAGCTATAGTGCAGAGTATTGTTTAAATTACCGTCATATCACAGATCTGGAAAGCCTGGAAACTTCTCATTTTTGCTATAGGTATAAACGAATTAACTTGCTTAAGCATAGATTAATAACTATCTATAGCGCGGTTTTTTTATTTGGAAAACTCGTTTCTCTTGATAAATAAGAATATTGCATTGAATAGTTTCATTATTGAAAACAGCAAAAAATATATTTATCTTTCTGTCTTGTTTTAGTTGAAAAATTGGGATCTGTATCAATTGGTATATCTGCAAAACGACTAAAGCAAAATTCGGTTACGGAAGAACAAACAAATGAGGAGGGACATACTGATTCGGATAGTACTGAGTCATCAGCACGAGATGATAGTTCACAACCAACAGAAGAGGAAGATGAAGAATCATCTAGTGAAGAGAAAGAGCGTCAGTTTTGTTTTCTTGTTCTTTTAATTGATTTAAAGCAGTTTATGATTAGTGCTTATTTAATGACATTTAGTCTGCGAGTCATTAGAGATAAAATGGAGAGTTGTTCCTCACGACTGGCGGCACTGATATGGCGTAATAATGGTTCCACTATAGATATAATATTAGAAATTAAAAAGCTTGTGCAGTGCATATGCATTAGAATATAAACGTAGCACAATATTATCATCTTTGTGATGACTACTGTTTGATGAAAAATAATGTAACATGTAGAGCATTAAATGACTTTTTATTTCAATATACTGTGCTTATACAAAGCACAGCTTATAAAATACAAAACGTACTGTAAAAATCCAATGCAGTGGTTTACTTGTCTGGAGCTGAAAGATTTTTAAATTAGTGAAATGGGTGAAATAGGAAGGGGAGCCAAGAGCACTCCGTCAAATCATTTGGTAACCTTATTTTTTTTTGCTGTTTTAGTAGTCGGATCGTTCTTCACAAATGAGATCACGGTTTTCATGGATCTGTTAGCGGATAGAGTAGTTAGAAAAGTGCAATATGTGGTGAAGATGTGGATAATTTTGAAACTATATTTCTAGATTATTTTTTATATTTCGCCATTTGTTTTCTTATAGCATCAAATGGAGCGATCCAAGGTGACGAAGATACATGGTTGCAAAGATTATTGGATGAGGCAAAAAGTTCGGGTGAGGAAACAGCTGAAGAAAAAAGTGGCAGTGAAAAGGAGAAAGAAGGAAGTGATGAGGAGGAATTTAATCCATTTACCTGTGATTTTACTAGAGGTTAGATTTCAGGAATCTTCTCTGAAAAATTAGTAATTTTTATGGTAAACATAAAAATAAATTCTATAATTCTAGAAGATCCATGGGCAGCAAAGCAACAAATTATTTCGGACTCACCGAAGAAGAAGAAAGTTAAGAAAAAGAAGTTCAAAAAAAAGCAAAAAAAATCAGCAACCAGTAGGATCGTTTCTACGGCGATGGTAAGATTCGTTTTTGAGAACACAGGGTATGCGTGAAATTTTGTTTAAAAACGAAATAGTTTTTATTTCAATTGTTTCCAGTGTTGCTAAGGGTAATTAACGAGCGGGTGAATTGAGACGTTGAAAATTTTCGGGAAATATCCTATCCTTTTTCAAATGTCTACCTTTTATCAAGTTTGACATGCACTTGAAACCAACAATACTGATTGAGTTAGTTATGCATCCGTGTTAACCCCTATGTATTTGTAATACAACGAATCATGTTATAAAAAAGAGATGGAATCTGAATGCAAAAAATGATTATATGTAAATAAAATTCATTACAGCATAGTACTGCCGATGTTTTCATGTCATCATCACGTCTGGTAAGTGATGAAGATCTTACGCTCGGTGAAACTTCACTAATCAAAGCAGAGCTGCTGGCTGCTGTAGAACGTCTAAGTCCTCGTTTGCCACCAAATACACTTGATCAACTGATTGACGAATTGGGTGGCCCTGAATATGTCGCCGAGGTTTAGCTTTAATACAAAAATATTTGGATATTTCGATTTTCATTGCAGACTAGTAAAAGTTATTTATTGAATAAAAAGTAAAAATGCTTTGCAGATATTAATTTAATGTTTACAATTACAGATGACGGGTCGTAAAGGTCGTGTTGTATGCCGTGAAGATGGAGATGTTGAGTATGAACTCCGACATGCTGGAGCAGATGTACCGCTTGAACTAATGAATATGGATGAAAAAGATAAATTTATGAAGGGTGAAAAATTAGTTGCTGTAATTTCAGAGGCAGCATCTTCCGGCATTTCATTGCAAGTTAGTTTATTCTTTTATTTTCCCTTCGCTTTTTAAAAATGTATTGGAAATTTAATACCTTAGATAAACTAATAATTTATCTTTAGTCAGATCGAAGAGCTGCAAATCGTCGACGTCGTGTACATATAACACTAGAATTGCCTTGGTCTGCTGACAAAGCCATTCAACAATTTGGTAATTTCTTTTTTTTATATTTCAGTTAAATTCTAGAAGACAAAAAGTTTAGAAAAAATATTGTTTTAGGACGTACACATCGTTCAAATCAAGTTAGTGCACCGGAGTATATATTCTTGATATCCGAGCTTGCTGGTGAAAAAAGGTAAGTCAGCAACTAGTATATGCTAAGCTTAAGCTTAATAAAGCTTAATTTATTGTTTCAGCACTTTTTGAGACATAGCATAGAGGGCAATGAAGATTTTTTCTTGAATTTATGTATACGTCATTGGTATATGCTATATATAGGTTTGCATCAATTGTTGCCAAACGACTTGAATCTCTCGGAGCATTAACGCATGGTGATCGTCGTGCAACAGAATCACGTGATCTAAGTCAATTTAATTTGGACACAAGATATGGTAGAGCGGCTTTAGATGTATTACTACGAACAATTACTGGATTGCTCGATCCGCCACTTATACCACCACCAGAGGATTACAAGCCTGGAAATTTCATCAGTGGTATTTTTGCTTAAGTTCGATTTGCAGAAAATATAGGTGATTTGATTTGATGAACTTTAAACTTTAAAATGGGTTTGCAAGAATTTACTAATTTTGAATGTTACAGATATGCAGTGTTATATGGAGGGTGTTGGTTTACTCTCATTGGATGATGGTGTTTATGTGATTGAAAAAGAGTCTGCCACCATACCAAAGTTTCTGAATCGTCTTCTTGGTTTACCAGTGCATGCACAAAACGCACTTTTCCAGTATTTTTCGGATATCGTTGCTGAATTAGTTGCGCAAGCGAAACATGATGGGACGTATGATATGGGTATTATGGGTGAGCTCTCATTTTTCTGTGAATTTGTTTGGATTACCTAGTGATTTATTATCATAATTGTGATTACTCACCCAAACATCTTATTGGTCAATCTTCGATGATATTTCAGATCTCGGAATGGGTGGTGATGAGGCACGTAAGTTAGAAACTCGTGTATTCATGGGACACTACGAAAGTGGTTTTTTCCGTGTCGAAATTCACAAAATTGGTGTAGAGCGTGGTGTAAGTTGGGAGGATGCTTATGCAATTTGGAAAGATCATCATGAAGATCAGGTAAATTTAATGCATTTCAATCGCTTATCCGTTGAAAATTAATTAGTAGTGCAATTCGTTATATTACCATCCTTCCTTCACGAAAATTTAGTATTTTTTTTTGATTTTCAGGATGGATTTTATCTCGCATCAATTGGTAACAATGGCAAAAAGACCGCGGCTCTTGTTTATGGTATTGGCAAGAAACGTTTGGATACGGGTGCGCGGCTTTTCTGCATAACTCGACCAAGTACAGGTCGGAGTGCAAAACTGGAAACAATCGATGAGTTAACAAAGCGTTTTCATCTTGCCACTCCTGAAGAAACTGAACAAGTATGGAAAGATCTGTTTGAAGGTCAGTAGATTTGTGTCCTCGTAAAGTTAGTATTTTGCGTTATATGTTGCTAGAAGCGTGGATGTCGAATTACTCATTCGATCATCACTCCATTGGAACTTTTTCTAAAGTTTTTTTCTCCTAATTCCAGGTTCGAACAAGACTTGTCAGCACAATTATTTTCATGGACGTTGCCGGAATGAAGCGATGGGTGTATACTGCGAAACTGGACGACGGACGCGAACTTATTTTGTTCTTTCTGGCTCAGTGCTCTCGGTCTGGCCGATCGTCGAAGAAGTATTGTCCAATGGTATGTCAGCTCGAGAAATTAAACGATCGCAGCGGATGCAGATAATTCGTGTCAGAACGTCGCAGGATCACAAAATCGTTGGTATGACCGTTTGCTATTTCTGAATAAAGACATATTTCTAGTTAGGTGAATGATTTCACATAAGACTTTTTTATGGGAGATTTTGTTTATAAAATTATTTTTTGGAAGGTTACAGTTTTTACGCCTTAATATCAAGTTCGTAAATTTCAATGAATTAAAATTGATTTGTGATTTTCCAGAAATTTAATATTTCAGGATTACTGGTTCTGCCGCAGTATGTACGAACACTGGTTGCGCGTTTTGAGAAACACTGTGGTGGTTGTATGGAATCAAAATCAAATATTTTAAACTGAATTGATAAAGTGCTGAAGAGCTTTATGGTAAAAATGTATACGTGTCTACAAACATTCACTTCTTTAATTTAAGCTCTCTTTCATGAAAATAGTTCTCATTTTCTCTTTTTAATTCTTGAAATATTTTTGTCTTGGTTATGTTTTTTTGATGATTGATGCATTAGGGTGAATCGGGAAATTTTTTTGTTTCGAAAAATAGAAAATTGTTTTGTTTGTTTACAAAATTTCCCTCCGTCATCTGTGTATAATTAACAAAAGCAAGCCAGTATATCTGTTGTCTGTTGAAAAATTGGTTTATTGCTCGTTATTTTGTGGATATTTACTTCTCTTTTACGTTATTTGAACTTTCACTTTTTTACGCCTAATGTCATTTTGCGTTGTTATTGTTGACTTGTCAGTTCTACTCTGTATGTATTATTTCATTCAGCAATTCCTTCCGATTAGCTTTTCCATCATTACTGCGAATATGTTCCCCTGTGTTAACGACTTTATCAAGTAAATTTGAATTTGTGTGCGATTCTTGAACACGGGCCACACTTTGCATCTTGTTCAACATTTTTGTCAAAGAAAAATTACTGGAAATAGAGCGTAAAGTATTTTGATGTGACAGGTGCCTGAAATTTTAAATCCAATCAGTGCTAATATGATAGTTCACGACACGGAAAAAAAGCGTTAGGGCTTATAGAGTATTGTGCATTACTAGATTGAATGCAGCGACACTCAGCGAACTTGTCAAATGTGAGGGCAAATTGGACGAGCTTTCTTAATTAATTTCAAAAGGCGGGATTGGAGGTTGAGGGGATCGAACCCCCGCCCTCTCGCATGCAAAGCGAGCGCTCTACCACTGAGCTAAGCCCCCACTTCTAGCATCCGGAAATTTCCCCTTCAGAACTAAATTTTATTAAATTAAAATTTGCATATTTGTTTGTTTGCTTACTCTTATATTTGTTCACACAAATTAAACAATCAGTAGTGGTGGAATTTTTGTTGTCAATTACGTCAAGCAAAACATAAGTTATCAAATTAAACTAACATTATTAATTTCTTAAATAAGCGTTGGACAGGAAACGAGTATAATGCAAAAAAATTCTCAATCAAATTATTTATGGTCTCCCTTTTTTTCTCTCTCTCTCTCTCTTTCTTCATATCCCATTATTTGATTATTATGGCATAATATTATTCAAAAGTACGGAATAACGATTTATTGTCATTGAAAAGTTTAAATTTGAAATAATAACAAAACCGAACAAGGAAAAAAATGATAATCTAACAGAGAAGCCTGTAATTCCAACAATATTATTTATTATTATCTTTAATAACAACATCACTAATACCACGAATTGACAATGTCAGTTATTTACATTTATGGTAATTACGAATGAATGGAACTTCTAATTTGAAATCTTTGAATTGAAAAACGAAAAAAAGAACTATTATGGTTTATAAACGAAAAAATGTTTTACATTTGCATTTTATTCTTTTTTATTTTAATAAAAATAACGCTAATAGGAAATTCAAACTTTTCCAAAAATGCGAATTTATTTTCAATGTTGCTATTAATGGTGATTTTAGCCCTTTTACTCCCATTGTAAAACAGTTCATTATTAGTTGCACTAATTGCCATAAGCATATTATCAAGATTTTATCATTAATTTTTATGTTTTTTTTTCTTTCCGATGACACAAAGAAGTAATTATTATCAAAGTAATTTTATTTGTTCAGTTATTTGAACAGAACAACAATAACAACAGTAAATATTACTCGGTCAAATAGACGGCAACAAACAATACACATTATTATTACTGTCTAATTTGTTCCTGCCTATTTGTAAAAAAATTTTATTGTTTGCTTAATTGGGAATGCATTTGTTAACGAAAGATAACATTGTCGAATATAAATTAAATGAAGAATTTTATATTATTGTTAAAATTGGCTGAATAAGTTCATTTTATACTTCAATTATCACAATATGCATTTTTTTCAATTAATAGTCTAATAATAAATGATTAATAAATGATAGTACGTAATGATATTGATCTATTATGAAGGAAAATTCATTAATATGGAATAATTACTGATAATGTTAAAATCAAATATATATGTTAGTATACGGATAGAGTAACTTTTCCAAAACATCGATCATATTTTTACTAATAACTACAATAAATAGGCACTAATAAAATCTAACACAAATAATATATATATTCTGCTCCGAAGTGGTAATAATTACGTTTTTTCCGTTGTTTTCAACTCTGCAAAGTTCGTCATATTTGCTTTTGCTCCAAGAAATAATTCACTGCCAGAAATTTTCATGTTTGCATCCAACGTTTCACTCACTGAAATATCTATTTTTAAAGAATACTTTTATAATTAAGTTAATAAGGGTTCCAATTCATTTTTAAATTAATAAATTGGAATCAAATAATATGTTTACTTTTAATGTAAATTATAACAAGAGAGGGAAACAGGAAATGTAACGCATTTTAATGTGAGAAACTGATAATTGGGAAGAAATTTTTTTCAAAACCAAACTGTTAAAATAAATATCACTAAATAATATTCCGATGTATTTTCTCATTTTTTTTTTATTTTTCTCAAATTATCAATTTTAGTTAACAGAATTCTGTTTCACTACTAATTTCCATCTTACATTTATATATAACAAATAAAATCCCAATCAATCTTCTCCCGTCTTTTTTCCTTTCTTCCCCTCAATTATTTCCGAAATTTGAGGAAGTAAGCATTTGACTTATGGTATGCTTTTAAAATTGTCTTATTTGTCGAATTGGTCGACTGATATGATAATAAAAATGCCAATTTCACTGACGTTTTACTGAATTTGCTTTTATACATTTTTTTGGCCAAAAAAAGAGCTAAAAAAGGAACAAAGTAAAAAAATTTTTGACCGTCAAAAAAAGGATTGTTTATAATCTTTTTGGTTTCATCAGTGATTCCTTCTGGGTGTATGAAAAATATCACAAATTCTATTTTTTTAACCATTTTTCAGTTTTTATTGCCCAAATATCGTATGTTTAATGGGAATCAAAATATATCAATATACTTACAAGTAAATATAAAATCAATACACTTATAAGTAAATATATAAATAGATAATAATACAATTGTAATATATTGCAAAAAAATTTAATCACTAAATAGTATGTTTCATATTTATCTAATTACAATAATCTTAATTGTAAAAATATGTTTGTTCAAGTAATATTACGATAATTTAATAAAGCAATGGAAATGTAATGAAATAATATTACGGTAATTTCAAACTCACCAGAAATGTTTTGTGTCATTGATAGATGCAAAGAAATTAAATAAAAGGTGTGCTCAATTATTTTTAGATTGAACAATTTATGTTGTCGGAATATATAATCAGCATAAGCTAAATAAACACCATTAAAAATTCTGGCCATAATTAATTGAGTTTTTGTTACGCAAGAAGTCTCAGTGAAACCTCAACATTAATTAATCATATATTTATGCAACAAAAATCAAAAAATATGAGACCTTTTGAAATAATTTTTAATCAAATTGGACATTTTGCAAAATATTTATCTTGTTTTGCAAAATTCCTAA